ATGCTTTTTCACACAAAGCATGTGTGAGAAATCTCTTTCCAAGTTGACAGTCCATAGAAGCTATCTCAAATCTATTCCAAATTCAGTTGACTTTAGATGTCAGTAAAATATAATTTCAGCAATCTGAAAGTAAGTCACCACAAACTCACAACTGATAAGATTTTTTACTAATTTTTCAAACGATAATATCACTAAACAATTGATTTGAAAAATAAAACTCATTATCCACAAAATTGACAATTTTTATTTTGGATCAAAGACAAAGAATAAAATGTTTTTTTGCTTTATCATGTGCAATTCCTTGGTGATTTATTAAAGATTAACCCACAAATATCACTCTTATAAACTTTACTTTAAAATGACTACAGTCAACATACAAAACTGTTCCACCATTACCTCACACTACCTCTTTGTAGTTATACCCGACGAATACCATTTTTTACAGTTCAAGTAGGTCAAATGAATGATGTAAATCATGAAACAAAAGACAATGCCTGATACCTCCCGGTAAGTGTATCGGCCATCCACTAGTGTAGAACCATTTAAGCCTCCGGGCCCAGCCACAGCTGCCGCAAGTCGATGACAAGCTATCAAGCTTCCAGTTACCAATTTCACTATTTCAAAATTTTTCTTCAAATCTTGAATAATGCTCTTGGCAAAAACAACAAAAAGAAAAGTGGCATATGAATTTGCAGTTCTCATCTTGGTTTAATAAAAGCTTCTATTTTAGACTGTAGTCCTAGATGAGAGACAGCAAACATAAGAACTTACCCACTCACGTTTCTTACATAAAAGTAAATAAACTCAATCTGCTATATACATTTACTAGAGAATTAATAAACTTCTATCCTAATTTTTGGCAACCGAGAGTTTACTTAAAAAAAAAAAAAAAGAAAGAAAGAAAAGAAAAAAAATCTTTAAAAAGAACTATTTCACTTCCTGTATACTTTTCCAGATTTTTCTTCCCAAGTCCATTACACTGAGGACGCTCTAGTTCCTCAAACTAATCTTTTTGCAATACAAAATAATATGCCTTTGAATCTTTTCAAACAAATTTCTAGAATACCATTCTAACTTTTAAAAACTGATTTAATTATTTCAACAAATTAAGCATATAAAAAGGAAATGAGTTAGGGATATATCAAATGAAAAACTCCACAGAGATGAAGGCAGAATGATAAAACTCAAGATTATTAAATGATATAAATTATATTAATAACCATAAAGATGTAAGATAGTGACTAAACTCAGCAATTTTAGCCATGTTTTGTTATTATGAAAGGTTATGCTAGTAACTGTATAATAATCAAAAATAGCCATACTCTTACCTTGTCTTGCTTCTGATAGGTTTGTTTTATGAATGAGCGGGTAATTTCATGGAGTTGACGCAAAGCTGGTACCACCCATACAAACTGGGGATTATTAAGCTGAGATGACTAGAGTTAAAAAGAAGTTACATTAATTAAATTTAGAAATAAATGGCAGATTCATTTATCAGCTATAAGAAATTTACAAGTCAATTAGGTTTTGTTACACATTCTATTATTTTCCTTTTCAGATTGCTCATTTATAGCTTATCTCCATGCACTCATAATTCACTCTTCAACTTCTTATACTGCATGCAATTTCCTAAGCCAAGAACTGCAACAGGAGTGGATGTGAAGTGACAGTAAATGTACAGGGGTACATCAGCAAAAAACAGACAAGGAATTAGCAACTTCAGAGGATAGATTAAGTAGCAAAGGCTGCTAAGACATGTTGACATAATAAAATAAATTGATGGCAAATGCTTAACTTGGATAATACTGAACTGGCTGTTAAGTAAAATGGAATAAGAACCTGGTTTCTATACTGATATGATTAAGATACCAATGTAAGATCAAGACATTGATAGTGGTCTAAATATTAAAGAAAATACTCATGTTTGTATTTCCTAGTTAAAACAAATTCATAAGAGGTCATTCTATTTTTATTAATTATTACAGACACTTTACATTTATACTGTACTTTATATTTTTCAAAACCCTTTCAAATATATTATTTCTGAAACTGGTAATCCAGTTTTACATGGCAATCCAGACAGTCATAGTACAGGTATATAAAGTCTGATGTTCATGTAACAGACTTGAAAAAGAGAATTGCTTTTTAATAAATAGCATCTTTCAAACTATCAAATTTCAGTATGATATTTAGTAAGCATGTCACATTAAATACTATTAATCAACTGATTGATTA